ACGTGTTACTTGATCGTCGAGTATTTGCCAGCATTAATTGTAACCATCGAATTGTTTCAATATATTATTATCTATGAAAACCACGTGAGTATTAACATTCTTATTATTTCAATATTCCAATTTTCCAAAGACCACTTAGCTCTGTGCATAACGCAATAGTAGTGTCGAGTGTTGCATCATCCGCCACCGAGACCTGTGCCGGCAGGAATCCCATTGTTCCTCGGCCATCCAGGTAGTGAAGTGTCGCCGATATTAGAGCCGTCTTGTGCTTGTCGTTCGTGCACCCACGCCTTGAATCCTTATTCACCCGGGCATAAAAGCACTGAACCGCCTGCAGTAATAGAGCCGTCCCGTGCTCACTGTTAGCATGTTCGAGTGTTGAAGGCTCAGGAACCGTGACTTGCGATACCTTTGAAGGGTAGAATCAGAGCCGCTCTGTGCTCTCTATCCTTCTCAAGAATCACTGTCGCCGAATATCTCTTCCTTTTCCACGCAACACGACCTGACTGCGCACATGGGCAGACCACGTCGCGCCGGACGCAAGGTACAGCTTCGCAGACTTTACGCTAAACTCCACGCTCCTGTCAGTGCCCGCGACTGCGCTTTGATCGGGCTCGCGCGACCAACATATGACACAAGGCAACCAGTGTCGTATCGTCTCGTACCGATCTCGATTGAATACCCAAATCTACCGCCGCTAAATATTCCCGCGAGTGACCCGCGACGTGACCGGTACATGCAGATTCCTGCTGAGCTACTCCACCAACACTACGGCGGAACCACACCCGAGCACTTTTCTGAAAGCCTGAGGACTACCACCACGAACAGCACACCGGAGGTAATCACCCTAGATTAATTCCAGCAAGCCATCACCGGTAAGTCGCAACTATTATCTTTGTCCGATTATGACGACCTCCATCGCGGACACTCCGTTAGCGCGTATCCCAGGGTAGGGCTGCACAAGCCTGACAACCCGAAAAATTTTCAATTTTGTCCCCGCTCCGCGGCCCGAGTACTGTAACAGCCGCGGCCGAGCGAGGACGTAACACTATTTAACGTGAGGAAACTCATAATACACGTGACAGTCACGTTAATTCGCCTCTTACACGCAAAATCGCAAGTTTCGCTCGCGGATTGATTTTTTTGATGTTTTAGCGTGGAACTATCGTATTCGATCGAAAAGATTCAAGTCGAAAAGTGAATTTGTATTAGTTTAGGTTTTCTACTGTAGAAACGAAAAAAACGCTCGCTATAGCTTCTAAATCGAAAATATCGTCGGCCCGAGGCTTTGCCTCGATAACTTTACTCTCAAATATTTTAATGAATAACATTATAATGCTCAGTTGCTGTATATATTTATCTGATACAAAGTCTCCTCTCTGGTCGGAGATAATTCATGTTCTCCTTATCTTAGTTGCTATTGGAGCTCTCTTTTCTCTGATTTTACGTTCTCCTCGACGTCTTTTATGAAGCATCTATCGATACATGCATTTTATATCAATATTTAATTTTCTTTTTGATTCTATGTATGGCTCTTCGTATTGTACTAACGATAGCGAGCTCAACTCCTAGGTGAGCAACCACGAATATATATGCGCTAGGAATGAGAGTAGCAAGCTCAACTCCGAGGTGAGGTACCGGGGAAGGGAAGTAGATGTGATGGAACTTATAACTAAGCACATTTACTTGCAGTTCTCCAAAGTGCTTTAGCTAGAATTAAATGATTGGTTTCAATAAATAAATGGTTCTTGATTGTGTATTGTTTCCATAAATGGTTTAGAATTTGGCAATAAAGTAATAAGAATTTAAATTTGACAAAGAACATTTATTTGACACTCTGATTCAGACCTACTTGCTTTATTACACCTGGATAGACTCTAGGCAAGACTCCAAGAATTATCGTTAATTAATTAGAGCTCTATCTGTTCATAGGTTTGAGATGCAGCGTTGGAATAAAACACAAGGCACTTCATACGTCGGAAGATTCGCCCGGAATCGCAATATCAACTTTATTTTAAGAGTATATAAAACAAGACTTACGCTACGGACGGCTGTTACTAGATTCGTGCACACTCAGTAGAGTCTCGCTGTGAAGGCGATAGGATTGGAACTCACTGCTCTGTTATTTAAATTGCCTGAGTTGCCGGAAGCGTTTATATAACCGCTCGATTCTCAGGGAGCAGACCGACTAACCTCGTATGAGAAAGTAAGCCTCTCTAGAGGTAATATTGTGTCGAATTATTAAAACTGGTTGTTGCAAAAAAAAAACAAACGAACGGATGAAAAGATTAATAAATAAACCCCAGGGGTTGCAGCGCGCGGGTTTTTATACTCTTCAACGACAAATGTGGGGAGAGCACCGGATTGGGGGCTCGCGCTTCGGAAGATATCAAAGTAGATCGGTGGCCATGTCGTTAATGAATTATTCTATTGACAAAGATAATGTTGCCCGAATAACATGAGATTTATTCGAAAGGCAGATAAAGTCTTCCAAGATGTTTATGTTATGCCAAACAGATAGAAAATTCTGAGAATCACGTGGTTTGCCCGATCGCTTTATGATGGTACATGTTAATTTATCGTTTCATTTTTAATTCGGGGTCCTTGTCAGTGATGTTCTAATAATATGATTGGTTCGACATTCAGTATTATGTCTCTTAAATAAATTTTAGACATGAATGCTCTTTCACTGCGAGCTTAGTTATGGTGAGATGAATTCCAGTACATTCTTGCTTTATTTAATATTATGTGTGCGTGAATTTTGTAATTGTATAGCGGCGATAATTGCTAATTATATATATACACTCAGGGAAAAAAAAACCGGACACTCGGTTATTTTGTTGTTTATTTCAAACTATTCGTATTTTTGTCGTTATTGTTAAATTAAACGTATGTTGTACTTAAGTATAATGTAAATGAAAGTTAACGAGGTCAGAAATTCATGAGTTTTAATAAAAAGATTGCTTGAAAGCAAATTTGCCAAAACAGCTGAAAACTAAATTAAAATTAATTAAGTGAAAAAATAAAATTTAAGCAACAATTCTCATCGATTTCACTCTTAATACCGCGTATTTCCTCCTCTAGCCTTGCGGAGGGCCTCGAGTTTCCTAGGCATTAAGTAAATGCGCGTCCGGATTTCGTCTTGTGAAACAGAGTCCCACTCTTCAACAAGCATAGTTTGAAGCTGTTCAACGTTTATTAGAAGCGGTGAACGATGTCTAATGCGTCTCTTTATCATGTCCCATAAGTGTTCTATGGGATTCATGTCAGGAGAACATGCTGGCCAATTCATTTTGGTAATCACTACTTCCTCCATGTATTGAGTGACAACTCGAGCTACTTGCGGTCGAGAATTATCATGCATTAACACGAAATTTTCCATAATAAATGCAGCAAATGGGACCACAGCTTCCAGAAGAACTTCCTCAATTTACCTTAGTGCAGTCAAAGATCCATTCTGTATGACAAGCAGTTCGGTACGGGCATGGACATTGATTTCACCCCATACCATAACTGATTGTAATTTAAAAGGCTGTGACTCGCACATGGCTCATGGAGCAAAGCGCTCTCCATATCCTTTCCACACACGGTCCCGGTCAACTAATTGCCCCATACCAAACCGGCACTCCTCTGTGAAGAGAACAACTCCCCACTGTTCATGTGTCCAAGCGAGATGTTGATTTGCGAATTGTCACCTTTCTACTTGATACCTCTCCAGTAGTAGAGGACCTGATGCGGGACGTTTAGACGCAAGGTAATTTTCACGAAGCCGTCTAATAACTGTTTTAGAGCTCACTCTTACATTACGGACAGTTTCGAGTTGACTGCTTACTTCAGAAGCCGTGAAATGACGGTTCCGTAGTATGGTAAGAGCAATAAAACGATCGTCTCCAGCCGTACATTGCAGTCGATCACTATCTTCTCTTCGATCGAGACTTCTGGTGGCCCTAAACCGCTGTACACCATCGCGGATGATAGAGCGGGGCACCACCAGTACATTGGCTATGTACCTAACGCTACATTCTTCGTTGGCCAAAGCCTCTGCCCTAGCGAGATCTTCTCGACTTAAGACCGTACTGTTAAGAAAAGAAAATTAATTAATGGTTAATTTGATTAATTGCTTACCTAAATTCTTGTTAAAACATAAAGAAAATGATTTAAAAAATCAATTAACTCACTCAACAAGTTGGCTATGAAAAGTACTAAATTGAACTGATTTAGTTTGTTTATCTAAATAGTAATTAAAGGGTGTAAAAGTCAACAACAATAAGCCAATAATGTTGTGTTTACGTGTTAAGAGAATTATCAATCGTTGTAATTAGGTATTATAGAAAATAAACAAATAATAAAAATGTCTGTTTTTTGTCCCTGAGTATATATGCGTGGTAATACGTATTGCATTTGATTTAAAATAAAGTAGTGTGTGCAAGGTATTTTCTCATGGCAATTTTGCGTGTGTGATATGCGCTATTATATAATAATTATAATGATAATAATAATATCCGTAACATTATTGAGTGGCTATGGGCGCCATTAGTTACATATAATTAAGTTATATTCTATTTGACGGATGAGTGTTAGCTAATAACGAAAAGTGAAGATTTTATAAACGCTAATGATGCATATATATAACTATTCACACGTATGCGTATAGTCGTAAATATATAAATTCAATTTTTAATTGAGTTTCCTATATTAATTTATAAGTGTTCTCTATAGTAGGTTCTCTATAGTATGTGCGTGTGGTATGATATAGTAGTGAGCGCTCGGGGATACGTCATCGCGGGTAAGATTTTCAATTTATTATAATGTTAAATAAATTTTATTGCCCTTTCCTAATATATGGATTAGGGTGTGGGTTTTAGTGAATATTGTCTGTCGGCGTTTGTGAATCTAATGAATCATAATTTATAACGTTTGGTTCTGTAATTGTTAAATTATTAAGCAAATAAGAACTTTTATATAAGGCGGAGCACGGAGTGTATAATGCGTGCATTAATTATGAAGTATAACGCGGTTCATAGGGTAAGGTATTTTATACAATGCATTTAATATTATGCTTTAGGAATTTAACGCGTGTTCTCTTATTATTGATATTATTGATGGTTGGTACTATAAGTTAACATATAACAATGAATAATGTATAACTGTGTATTTTGTCTTTAAATAAATAAAATGGAATGTTGAATTGTAAAGGTTGTAATAGTTTCATAATTATCACGAATTTGCTTGCTCTGAGTAATTATTTAAATTATGTGAACGTTATATGTGAGCCTCTCGCGTCCAACTACTTTCCGTTAGGTCGGTCTCTGATTGGACGGTCTGCGCTTTAAGAGGCTTGTCTTGATTCCATGGGATACAGGTAGGTGAAAGTGACAGAGGTAATTAATAGATACGGGCGCTGTTGTATAGACAGAGAGCGAAGATATTGTTGGTTCTGCGTCGCACGCACGGTGCCGTTACACGGGCGCACACGTATATCAGGTCGGTGTATGTGTGTGTACGTCAGACAGAGTTTGGTTGTGTGCGTTATTCGAGCGCATCGCGTGTCATGGCATAAGTTTCGGTTAGTGCGTGCCATGACGTGCGGAAGGTCAAGGTTGCGTTTAGCATGTGTTTCTGTGATGTGAAGCTAAGTATTGTTTCGAAATAATATTAAATTTTGCACACAGTATTACGGTTAACAAATTCAATGATTTGGATAAAGTTTTGTGGCGGGGACGTTGTACGGAACTCCGCGCGGTTCGCCGGAAGTGTCTCCGCCGAACACGCCTTCCGATTGTCCACATTGTCGCGGAACCCCCGCCGCCGGAGTTAACGTTGTCACGGATTTCACGTTTCCGCGGCAGAACCGCAGGCCTCAGGGAGGCGAAACTCCGCGTGGTTGTTGGCCCGGAATGTCCCCTTCGATCCTTACATTACTGACGTTCAGGCAGAGGAAAATTTTCTTTAGCTTCTTACGACGAAAGCGTGTTCGACCCGAACGAATTACTTGACAACTTAAATATGGAGAGGTGTACAGAGCAAAATGTATCGCATATTGACGGTCCCGCGATAGATGAGGAAATTAGTAGATTACCAACCACCGTCGCGCAATGTACAAACGGTAGCATAAAGAAAAACCCTTTACCAAAAAGCAAGGAAGGAAAACGCGACTCCTTAGTGGAGGCCTTACTGAATCAAATACGAAACCTCACTACATGCGTAATCGAGCTTAACGAGAAGGTTAACGTACTGCAACTAACACGGAAAAATTCACTAACGTACAAAGGCCCACTGCAACCGGGCACTGGAACAGAAACAGAACGTACGACCACATACATATACATGACCCCCTCTCGGAAGATAGTCTCGCATTGAATTAATTTATAATCGACACCAACAGATAGCGAATAAAGTATGCCAGAGACTTAATACTAACCTTTGATGGCTTCAGTGAAAAGAGTCTCAAGGAATTTTTACATGCTTGCAATTATGCTTACTGCTTAATACACCTTACAAAAGAAACTGCTTAATACACCTTACAAAAGAAATTGCTTTAACTAAGGCAGTAACATGTACGAAATTAAAAGGACAGGCCATGACGGAGATAGAAAACCGAAATGTAACAACCTACCGACAATTGAAGGAAATATTAGAGGCCTACTATTCGAGAGAAAGCTCGACCACACGCGTACAACGCAAATTTAATTTTTTACTGCAGAAAACAGGAGAAGAAACGCATGTCTATAGAAAGAGAGTCGATAGACTAGAGATGAAAATATACGTGTCAGCCACTGACGGCATATTATATACCCCGCTAAAAAAGAGAGCTATACACGAATATATTAAATCTCAAGCGCTAATTAGTTTCCAACTTGGGCTGAATGATTAGCTGCAAACCATAGTGCGATCCCGAGCTCACACTACAATAGCTCAAGCTATTGCCGGAGGATTGGAGGAAGAAAAGATAAAAGGATTAACTAACCACTATAATAATCGGGAAAATGCTTTGTCATATAACAGTCGACTGACGTCATATCCGCGCTCGAGGAAATGTTAGACCTCCGACGTGTCACAAATACGGCAAAACAAGACATCTAGGGAAAGATTGTCGTACTAGCCGTGACGCGAACCGATACACCCTACCAACAATATCGCGTAAACGCGATGGAAAAGTATTACACATATTGCAAGAAGATAAGACATACACGTGAAGAAGGCTGAAAGCTGCATGGGAAACTAGTGGAATACGCTGCACCTAACTTTGGACATCGCGAAGAGCAACAAAATACAAACACAGACAAGCGTGGAATGAACCAGGGAGGCACATCTAACGAAAACAAAAATAAAAACGAGAGACAAAAAAGAGAAAATAAAACGCAAAGTGCTCAAGAATTTCAGATCAACCAAGTGAAGAAAGCTAGGCAAACACGGGGATTGGACTTAGTGATACTCCCGATATGCAAAACCAGACGAGGGAAGATATCGCTTTTACTAGATACAGGGTAGTCAAATTTTTAAATAAAATTGCGGACCATAAAGGGGGAAACTCCCGTGACTGTGGATAAAGTAATGTTAACCAGAGTAACTGGACATCAAACGAGTAGGTTAGGTAAGTGCATCGCAACTACAAAACTAAGGAAACAAATCCTAAAACATAAAATCTACGTGGTAAAAGATGATTTTCCCATCGATGAAGGAATATTAAGGGTAGGTTTCCTGCAGGCGCATAACGCGATCTGCAACTATCAAAGCAGGAAACTGAGAATTTTTGTGATCAATTTATGTTTGTTGCCCTACCGAACATATCAGATACTTGCTCGAAACGAAACGATAATAAAGGCAGCCACAAATGTAAATTCAAAAAGAATCGTAAGAAAAAAAACCTGAAGTTTTTATTGGAAGTTGCCTAGTAAATCCAAACAATTACACGTGTAACGTGAGCGTCATAAACACTACGGAGGACGCGATCGAATTTGCAACCTCATATGTAACTTTAGAATACGTGGCGGATTCTAATGAGAAAAAAATAAATCTGATAAATATGAAACAGAATGGTAAGACGCTTCAACCATGAGTGAAAAAAATTAAAGCAACAATTTCACCTACAACACTTGAACTATGAAGAACAAAAGCAATATACTATTTGTGAGGATTTCAGAGATGTATTCTTTCTCGAATGAGACTGTCTCACTCATACTACAGCTGTGGAGCATCGTATTGCTACTCGAGGTAACGCAACACCGGTAAATATAAGACCATATCGTCTGTCCGAGAAGCACAAGCAGGAAGTGGATTGACAAGTACGAGAAATGTTCGATACTAATATCGTTTGTCCTAGCATTAGCCAATGGAATGCTCCCTTATTGGTAGTGCCAAAGAAAATCGACGTGACCGGAAAAACCAAATTGCGAGTCGTGATCGATTTTAGAAAACTAAATGATCTAACGGTTGGAAATTCCTTCCCGTTACCTGACATAAGTGATATCCTAGTCCAACTTGGAAACTCAAAATATTTTACTACGCTAGACTTAGCGTCATGTTATCATCGAATCCCAATGGGAAGACAGGATAAAAATAAAACAGCATTCTCAACTACGGAATATTTCGAATTCAATCGAATGCCTTCTAGATTAAAAAACGCACTAGCAACCGTCCAGCGGCTATGGAATATCGTACAAGCTGGACTCCAAGGAATAAAATGCCTAGTATATTTAGAAGACATAGTCATCTATGGGTCCAGCCTAGAGAACTATAACAACTGATTAACCTTTTGCGCTCGAGTTTGCGCGGACCAACCAGCAACTCGAGACGTTTCGTAGCGCTTTTGGTGACCTTACTACCTCTAACATAAAATGATTACACACGCAAAGTGACATACAAAACTTTTATATTTTAATATTTAATGTATTTTTACATTTTTATGAGGATAATTTGTTTAACATTAGTCTTTGTAATTTTGTTTTGTATGATATTTCATGAAACAATTGCCGAGATGTATGCCCGGCTTATCGGGACAAGTATCGCAATAATATGTCGTTTGATGTCTTTTGCCATGTTTAGTTCTTTGAGAGCAGACTTTACAATCCTTCCTAACTCCTGTCAGAATGTTGTGTAGCTTTCCATTTAGGCGGTTGTTTTCAGAGCTGGAGGTTGAGGTTGAGGATCGAGCACGTATCTGATGAAAATCTCCAGTCAATTGTTCAACTAAGGTTTTGACATACCTCAAGTGACTTGCCGAAAAGGCAAAACGTAAACAGTTACCGCCGCGCATCGAGTTACCTCAGCGAACCATGTGGTGAGC